GACAGCGTCGCGGCCAACGTCAACTCAGCGGCCAACAACCTGCCAGTCTAGGCGTCTAAAGGGCGTCGAGGAGGAGGAGGAGGGCCACCAGACGGAGGGGGACAATGACTCTATCCTGAAGGACTCCCGGACTCCCCAATCCTCGGATCTTCTCTCTTCAGTTCACTCCACTACTGCCATACGTTGTTACCAAGGAAGCCCGGCCGCCGGACCTTCCTCCCGCCCCGAGTAGTCTCTGACATAGAAAGGACTCCCGCAAGGAGGCTCACCGTGAAGTATGTTCTGGGAACATTGTCTTTACCTCGCTCCCTTCTGCAGGAGGGAACACGCCAGTATTCCTTTGTTTTAAGTAAGATATTTGTATATATAAACAGCCAAAGAACTTAGCCGTTTTCGGTGAGAGAGGACGCCAGTTAACCTAAGAATGATGTAGTACGTAGGTGTAATATTCTGTGTGCAATGTATTTATAAGCTGGTTGTCAAGGAGTGTGGTTGAAGAACTATGTACAAGAACATCCGACAAGAGATACTTATTTAGTTTTATAGAGTTTTTGTTTCCTTTTTAACCATAGGAAGAAAATAAGGGGGGGGAGACCGAACTCCCTTTGAGAATCTGCTTTCGTGAAATCTGCTCTGAAATCTACGTGAAAGCGTTTATTTCCGCGTCTATTTATTTAGTCTCATATGTCAGTCTATTTACCATGAAGTTATATGTAACGTTTCCTTACAAGAGTAAGCGTGTAATTTATCGGTTGTGTGCGTGCTTTGTGATATAGTCAGAGGCACCCGAAGGTCACGAGAAAAGTTGAGAGAGCGCATTTTTTGTTGTTATTTTTATGTAAAGAATTTTAGATTTTATAGAATTTTGAAGGCTTCTATTTTAGTATTTGTAGATTGTTATTTTACTGATATGAGAAAAAATACAAAGGATTTTTGTTGTTTAAAAACGTTTTGGAAGATATTCATATGTAAGCCCGTCAAGATTTTGTTTAATTGCGTTTTTTGTATGGTATTATATCTTTTATTGATTTACTGGTAATGTTTGTGTTAAAAAGATAACAAGAAAAGTTACAGGCTACCTTGAGATTATGTCCTTTAAAACATGTATGATAAACAAATAAATATTTTCTTAGAATGTTTACGTGCTGGGGATACAAACCTAAAAAATAACATACAATTTATGCTATATTATCTCTGTGAAAAATATATATATTAATGTAACTGTTCGCTTTCATTATGACAGCTGTGTAATTTGCTTTGACAATAGGAACAACAAAGCAATCAGATTTTCCATTAAATGAGAAAAGCTCATTGTAACAAAAGTAATATATATATATATATATATATATATATATATATATATATATATATATATATATATATATATATATATATATGAATGGAATTGAGTAATTCTTCAATGCAAAATATATAATCAAAGCCTATATCACATCTTCAGAATTGATTGAACGTAAGTTTAATGATTAACGTAATTAAGAAGAAAATGTGATATCAAATCATTAATTACGTATTTTGTCCCAGGAATTATCAGTAACTCAATCATATTCTCTTCAGATATAGTACGAAAGGGAAATTCGAAAATATACAAACAGTATATATTCATATATGTTCTGTGTCCATGTCGATAGATATTATCACTGTTTTTCGGGGTATATATAAATCCGACTGCAATATCATCTACTTATTGACTGTCACAAGCTTTAAAAAAAAGGTGATTTAATTCCTTTTATTTGTAGGTATCTGTTCAAAAAAGTAGATAAATAAAATAAATAACCACTTACAATTCCTTTAAAAAAAACTCTGTTATGGATTGAATTATTGATCTGCAACAGAGATCACATTGCAGAGATTAGACAGAAAAAAAGGAATTTGAAATACAAGTAGGTTTAAATTTTAGTGTTTGTACTCCGTTTTCTATATTGGTACGAGATAAAAAAAATATATACATAGGATAAATCTTGTTTTGTTTTGATTTCCATCCATGTAATTGTTATTATTATTTATTCCCCTTTTATCCGTGACTTATTTTGTAATTGTGTTGGGTTTTGTATATGTAGTGTTTGTGTGTGTGTGTGTGTGTGTGTGTGTGTGTGTGTGTGTGTGTGTGTGTGTGTGTGTGTGTGTGTGTGTGTGCGCGCGCGTGTGTGTGTGCGTATGTATGTATGTATGTATTATGTATGTGTGTGCGTGCGTGTGTGTGTGTGTGTGTGTGTGTGCGTGTATACGTGTGTGTGTGTGTGTGTGTGTGTGTGTGTGTGTGTGTGTGTGTGTGTGTGTGTGTGTGTGTGTGTGTGTGTTTGTGTGTGTGTGTGTGTGTGTGTGTTTGTTTGTGTGCGTGTGCATTTATGTGTTTTTAAATTCAATCAGACCAGATGCCGTGGATATATATAGTAACTTTCAGAGACAAAGTATATATGAACAATAATTTATGAATTATTGAATTCAAAATAGAGAACATCTATCATACAGATCATACGGA